GTTTTTATGGGGCATGGGGGAGACTGGTCGTATGCCGGTGTCGGCGGTACTAGTATAAATAAAATTAGGTTGAATTCTAAGTACTTTTCCTACATACTACTTTAACAAATATAAAACACCTTTACGACCTTTATCTTTACTACAACGTTATTGTTACGCCGAGTAAGGTTCTACACGAAGACGAGTTAGAGAAAGCTTACAATAGGCGTTCCCAATAGAAGATAAAGGTCTTATACTATTGGTAACATAGGCAGAGGCCTAGAGCTATCGTAAGACAAAGGAAGAAAGAGACAGAAACGAGAAGTATCGTTCCCCATCGCCAAGAACTAACTATCCAGAGAGGGATCGTTACACAGGTAGACTTTTGAAGGTTCGTTAGTCTAATTAGTATACTTATAGTATTCCAATAAGCCAAGACTTGAAGTTTGTAACTAACTTTATAGTATCGGTAGAGGTACTAAATGAATTGTAAACTGATACCATTGTCTGTTTCTTTGGGCTTTAGGCCTCGCCTTTTCTTCAATCCAGGATAAGCTGGTTGAGCAAGAAGGGAACTTGGAATTAGATGTTTTGAAGCTTGTTCTCAGGATATTGGAACTATTGGTAATGGATTAGAGTGATATGATTTGTTTAGACTTTATTCACAATCGTTCTTTCTATAATGAGGTTCACAAATGTGGGCCAAAGTACTTGTTTGATCTTTTAAAACACCTACAAATTGTGAGAGATTGACCAGAGAGTCTTCCTCCAAAATCCATACTTTAATTTAACCTCTTAATGCAAAGGTTCAATTATTTGAATTTATACAGTACAACAAGAGAGCTGGAAAAAAAAGTCATTCAGAAGGTGAATTGGCCTCCCTATTCAGCTAATCTCAACCCTGTTGATTACATATGGGCTCTGATAAAGAGACGTATTCAAACTCAATGAGGAGTTAAAAGGATTAAATCTGTATCCTAAATGAAGACCATGTTAACGGAAGAATGGAATCATATTTCAATTGGTAAATTTAATAAACAAGTAGCTAAACTGCCTACTATCCTCGCTCGCTGTATTGCTGTTAATGATAGTAACAATTTTCATCCATAGTTTCCTGTTACCCTCCTACTCCCCTCCTTACACCCTCCCCTCTCACCCACATCTTCTTTCTCATACCATTATTTTAGTCTTAAATTGTCCTATTATTTATTGTCTATTTTAATTTTCTTTCTATAAGCCTGCTTGACTAAATCTATTTCTCTTGCCCTTCTCAAATAGCTATATTGATGCCATACTTCTAAATTTGTTTACAATTACTTCCTTTAGTAGAGCCCTCACAGATATAGCATAAGCAATGTTTCTCCGCCAAGCTTTAAGTTATACAATAGCTGTGTAACTCCTCTTTTCCCATTACGATGACTTAAAAAATTTCGGTAAAGGTCTGAGATACCACCCGATTTTGATAAAATACCCAGAAATACCACCCTACCCTCAACTACCATGCAAAAATTGTTAAATCAGATTAGATCTACCAATATGATTAAATTTCCAGTCTATGATAAATTCTTAAAAGTTGCAGGAGGTGCTGAGTAGAACTAACAAAAGCATCCACAATCTAATTCAACTCAACCACATCTATAAGCTAATTTCATCTGTGATGTCCGCCCTTGATCAGCTTCCTAAGACATCCTTACTCGGTCACCTTTTCCACAATTTTGTCGAACTTCAGCAAACGATCGAGGATTGGTCAGTAAAGGAGAAGTTCAACTTCAAAGTCAGTGCACGAGACACTAATAGGGCAGTTTATACCTGTATTGTGGCAGGATGTGAGTGGCGAGTAAGAGCATATCATACCAGTCAGGAAGATATAAAGGTCACGGTTTTGGTTAAAGACCATACTTGTATTCCTGGTAATGGAACAAAGCGAACTAGCATTTCCTGTACTCAATCATGGCTCCGGCGACATGTTCCAAGGCATCTGAATATCACTCAAGCAACAAAGCCACGAGAAATTATGGACTACTTGCGCATACAATTTGGAGAAGCACTATTATACAAGGCGGCTAATCGCTTAAAGGCTGGTGTTTTAGATGATACGCTTGAAGGGTAAAGAGATGGATTCCGTCAGCTTCCACAATACGTTTCTGCTGTTTTATCCAGCAACCCTGAAGCATATATCCGCCTGTCATGCGACCATGAAAGCCATCGCTTTCAACGTATACTCATTTGCTCTGTACAATCTCGCTCTTCTTTCCGCTATTGCCGCCAATTTATTGCAGTTGATGGTACCTTTCTGAAAACTAAATTCGTTCAAACACTCTTGTTAGCAGTTACTGTTGATGCAAATGGCAAGACGCTTCTTCTGGCTTGGGCAATAGTTGAGAGTGAGAATTCCTCATCATGGGAGTACTTTCTATCGAATTTACAAGCAGCTATTCCAGAGATCAGACAAGATCGAATAACTCTTATGAGTGATCGCGATAAAGGATTGGTTCATGCATCCCTCAACCTACCTCCTACGATTACACGTGCCTATTGTTGTAATCATTTAAAGGAAAACCTTATAACAGCATATGGAAGAGGTGTATCAAATCTATTTTGGGTAGTGGCAAGGGCGCCCACTGTAGAAAGGTTTGAGAAATCAATGGGAAAGCTGTAAGAGGAGAAGCCAGAAGCAGTACAATATCTCAGGAATTCAGATCCTACTCTCTGGGCTAAAGCCCACTTTCCTGGGAAGCGTTACGGTCACAATACTTCAAATATTGTGGAATCCGTAAACCATGCCTTAAAAATTGACTGGGAGCTATCAACGGTTGAGCTACTGAATGCCATATGGCATCGTCTAATGAGTCAATGATTTGAGTGTTTCGTGTAGGCAAATTCAACAAATCCTATGGTTCTATATACCAAGTATTGCACGAAGATCTTGAGTGAGAGCAGGCTATGGGCAAGACAAAATATAGCACTCATGGCTGATGAGATTCACGGACATGTTACACAGCCAAACGGCAATATCAAAGTGGTCAACCTGGAGGATCGTACTTGTACTTGCGCCATATATCAAGAGAATGGAATTCCTTGTAGGCATGCATTAACCTGTATTATGACTATCGCACATGTAAGTCTCTTTTACTCTTCGGATGTAATATCTTCTACTTACTTTTCTATAGGCCGTACAAGATTACCTTCCACAAACTCTATCTATTGTGACATGGAAATCAACATATAATGACAACCTTCTTCCTGTTGATATTTCCAACCTGCAACCTCAGCCAGAGCCTGTTCCTGCTCTTCAGGGTATTGAACCAAATCCAGCTCCTATTGTACAACATGTCGAGCTACCAATTACCAGAAAGCCACGAGGAAGACCAAGAAAGGAGCGAATTCAAACTGGCGATCGCCGTCGTAGACAGTTGATCGCAAACCAGATTGGTATACTTCCAGAAGATCCAATTCCTCCACCACCCCGATGCTCTACTTGTGGTAATCCTGGTCACAACTCTGCTACCTGCCGTAGATCACATAGCTAGTCCTTGATTGGTATTCAGTAAGCTGAAAACCTCGAATCGGTTTTACTACGTTTTCCTTAATTTTTAGCATCTTGGGAATGTGGATAAATTGTATAATAGTTACCTGTGGTATCTCTGTAGTCTAATCTGATCTCACAATTTTTGTGTGGTAGTTGAGGGTAGGGTGGTATTTCTGGGTATTTTGTCAAAATCGGGTGGTATCTCAGACCTTTACCGAAAAAATTTTCTAGTACTTTGCAGGATTGGCCCCTTGAGTCGGAGCACGTGAGGGCTCAGCGCTTGGGACCCTCAGCCAGACGGCGAAGCTTGGCAACAATTGGCGTGTACAGTACGAGTAGATTTGTTTGAATACTTTGGTCCTGAACGTGCGCCCAGCCTCGCTGAGGGCCGTCTCCCTGCGCCCTCACCTCCCGGTATTCTTCTGAATCTCCATCACGATGGTGCTATTAAACTACACACCTTCCCCACACCCTCCACCAATCTACCGGCATCGTTTCGCACTTCTCAAAAGTGTAGAAGCACTCAATGCACCGATGGGGCAACAAAGAAACATTCTCTCCATCCCAACCCCCGGCGAACTTGGATTGCCCTAACTTCCTGGGACAATCCGGCACCTGGTAATTGGTGGGGGAATGGCGGGAAATGGGGAATTGGTGTATTCGCGCTGTACTCGTGTAGCCACCTAACAAATGTTTACCGAAATAGCGCCCCTCTCTTCTGGGGATCACGGGGGCCTAAGGCGGTGGGATTTGCGCAAGCGGCTTGTGGCAGGGAGGGACCGTTTCTCGGGGTCGCGAGAAACTATTTCGCGAAGGACCATTTTCGGGCGACTGTGCTAGTAAATACGGACTGGGAGGGGAAAATCGTATTATGGTAGTTGGTATCATAACCTGACCTGGGCTACGTACCGTAGTGAGCTGGTATCATCAGCGGATAGGTTGGAACCAAGAGAGAGAGGGGCAGTGGTCGGGACGGAGGGGCTGGATAAATTGTTGCGTTGCTGGCAGTTTTCTCATCCACCGATGCGCATGGGAGTAGGAGTAGGATATTATCTGCTTGTCGCCTCTATCAATGCCTTGGCTGTGATTTGTGAAAGTGATGAGGGGGGAGAGGATCTCGATTAATTCCTTGTTTTGCGGTCGTACCGTACACCTCCTGACAACGAACGCCAAGAGTTCGGGATTTTTGTTTGTCAAAGCAAGGTTTCAGAAGGGATCACTTGTCGCAAAGACCATCTGCGGACGTAGATTCCCTGAGGGTTCATTCGTAACCGCAAGGTTTCCCATATCTAGAGGTTCATTAAGACGAGGTGAGGCCGTCCCCGAATATATACATAAACCCTCTAGACCCCTCCGGGACTCCCATGGTCTCTAGTCAAACTATCAGATCCTATCAGATCCCATCCGTGTCGCTTGGGTATTTAGCAGGGGACCAGAACGGTTGATTCTTCGCCTTTGACTTATAGACTTACCTCGAGCTGATTCCGGTTTAATGGAGGCTTGCTATTCCGGTTTAACGGAGGCTTGCTATTTCGGTTCCAGGCCCGTGCCACCTTGCCGTCCCTGGGGATTTTGCTCCCTCGTCAACTTTGCCTTCTACCCCTTCGACAAAATGTGCATTGCAGGAGCCGAGGATCCAGGAGGCCGCACCCCCCGGCCCATCACTATAAGGCCTCTGGCACTCTTCACATCCTTCCTTGCTGTGATGATAGCCGCCTATCTTTTCAAGCAGAAACGGCGACAACCTCCATTACCCCCGGGCCCCCGCGGAGTCCCCATCTTCGGCAACCTCTTCCAAATTGCACCCAAATACCAGTGGCGTCAACAGCAGGAATGGTCCCAAAAGTACGGCCCAATCTTCAAGCTACAATTGGGTGTTCACATGGTCATTGTCCTCGGGACGTACCAGGCCGCGCGGGATTTGCTGGATAAGCGGTGGAAGATATACTCCGATAGACCGGGTTTCGTGGTCTCCGCTAAGTACATTTCAGGGGGTGTGGCTTTCCTTGCTCCTGTATTGGCCTATCCCAGTGTCCCTGCCGTACCCCAAATTCATTACACGCACTGACCAGCACACCCAGGATTCCGGACTCTCCTTATGCGCGGAGAGATGTGGAACGCCCACCGCCGGCTCCAAGCAACAGTGTTATCCCCGCGCATGTCCCAAAAGTACAAACCGGTGCAAGACCTCGAAAGCAAGCACCTCATCCACGCCCTCCTAAAAAAGCCAGACGACTTCGCCCGGCAATTCCACCGCTACTCCGCCTCACTAGTTCACTCCCTGGGATATGGCAAGCGCCTGGTCACTGGACGCGAGGAGGAGGTCCAGACGGTCGACACCATCATGCGGAACTTCACTGAGGCTGGTCGTGTGGGGAAATGGTGGGTGGACATGTTCCCCATTCTCGAACTCATCCCAAAGTACTTTGCCGAGTGGAAGAGAATCTCCGCCAAGATCTTTGAGTACGAGTCCAACTTTCACATTAAGAATCTAAACGAGGCCCTGGAGCGGAAGGGGTGGAATTGGGCGAAGCTGTATAAGAATTCGTCATTTTCGCAAGGGATGTCGGACTTAGAGGTTGGATATGACCGTACGTGCTTTTACCTCCCTCATCGGCGATAGTTGATACCTCATCTGTAGGAGGGGAAAGCAAGCTTAAACCGAGCAGTTGGAACTCTAAACGAAGCCGCCAGCGATACAACCACCATCGCTCTAGAAGTCTTCATGCTAGCGATGTTAAAATTCCCGCACGTCGCCCGTCGCGCACAGGAAGAACTTGATCGGGTAGTCGGTGAATCTCGATCGCCAACCTGGCAGGACAAGGACTCCCTCCCGTACATTGAAAAGGTCATCCAAGAGACACTGCGATGGCGCCCGGTCGCTATAAACGCATTCTACCATGCGGTAACTGAGGATGACGAGTACCTAGGCTACCGCATACCAAAGGGTTCCTGGGTTGTGGCGAATTCCTGGGGGATACATATGGACCCGGAGCTGTACCCGAACCCGAGCGACTTCAATCCCGACCGCTACGATGATGAGAAGCTCGGACATGTGGCTTTCGGCTTTGGGCTTAGGGCTTGCACTGGGAAGCACATTGCTAAGAATTCGTTGTACATTAATATCTCAAGGATATTGTGGGCGTTCGATATTGGGCCGAAGATGAGGGCTGATGGGACGGAGGTCCTGGTTGATGAGATGGCGTTCACGACTGGGTTTTTGTCCCGGCCGTTGCCATTTGAGTGCTCGATTAGGCCGAGGGATCAAGGCCGTGTGGGGGTTATTGAGACGGAGTGGGCCGAAGCGGATAAGTCCCTTCTTTCAATCATGGCCGAGGAGAAGTTTATTTAGGCGGTTTCTTCCCCTATCGATCTTGGCTACGTTTTCTAACTTCACCTTTCTCCGCCTCTCTTATTATTACCATAAATTTATTTTCTTACAATATTTACGTCTCTTGCACTCGCGATTTTGCGCAAATAGCAAACACCCGTTTCTAAAAATTGAGAAAAACGTCCAATAATGTATTTCCCACACCAGCACACATAAGCAACCTCAGGCATGCCAAGGTATCGATCACTGCCTCAACGTAATTTTCTTCAACAAGTTCGTGCTTCCAGTCGCCAAGCGATTCGTAACTGCGTCCTCCTTACCCCCTTTAACATCATTAACCAACTGCCTGAAAATTCCATCCTTTACTCTCTGATCCGGCGTCGGTGATGGATCCTTCCTGTTAATAGGGTTAGAAACACCATTCAGTGTGTCGACAACCTTGATTGGCGATCCCTGGGCCCTCCTTAGCTCCTACGACTTAATTATAAACCGACTGGGATACCAACCTCATTGAAAAAGTCTACCAGCACAAATCCGCCGACACGCTTATACTCGGTCATACACTGAGCAAGGCCCTGCTTGAGATTGCCCGGAATGCCGGTCTTGTCGCCATTCAATGCCGCGACGTATGTATCATTCGGCTTATATGCCTCCCCACCACTAACCCAATTGCCAACTTTGCTGCTGAAAATATTGGCATAGAGAAATCTATTCATGAAGGGTATCCTGGTTCGAAGTTCCTGCTGGAGCTTGTCTGGCCCGCTGACGCTGCCTGGACGGTGTGCAGCGCAGGTGAACTTTGACGGATCACGGACTTCAAAGGGGGTCTCAAAGATGTATGAGAATTCGCCCAAGAGCCATGGGACATTCTTGGTGTCTGCACTAGTGCTAGTGAATGCTATAAATCTACGTTGAGCTGTGATGAGTTGGCGCAGCGTTGGCCAGCCAGTCGGTAAGAGTGGGGGTTGTGTTGGAGCGGTATAGGTTAAACGGGTCAGATCAGCTTTGTCGAAAGCCTCCTTGATTGTCGTAGCCTGGATTTTGGCATTATTTACCAAGAGGATTGTTACAACTTCGCTTGTATGCTAGTCCATCCACTCCCGCACCTTCTTTAGATAATTCTCCAACAAACCTCCGCCAAACAGCTTACAACTCGAATGGCACAATACAGTCTTGTCGTCCTCGTTATGGAGTTGCCCCTGCAATAATCGAATGCCAGCGTCCAATTGAACCTTGACATCAAAGTATTGATTTCCGCTAACACTGAATCCGTTCTCCTTTGACCGAACAAACGGAGAGTCGTGCGCTCCGAGATGCACAATAGATGACCACTGTTTATCACATAGCTCCACGAAATTATTGCATGCTTTGGAATTATATGCTCCCGGTGGGGGCTGCGGTACTGGTGCTTGACCTAGAGGAGGGGCACGGGAGGGTTCTTGGCTTGGCTGGGCTTTCAAGTTGGGATTCGGTGAACCTAATCCCGCAGACGGAGTTGATATGGCTGATTTTGTTGGCGCCATAGTTGGTTCACCCCCGGCACCGGAGGTCGGGGATGAGAGTAGGGGTGAGACCGGCAGCGATATAGAAGTGGATCCAGCAGGTAGTTCTGCTATAGTCCCCGGCGACGAAACTACTTGCACTACGGTAGGCGGGGAAACGTTTGATAATGCTGCCTCGGGGAGATGTTTTGTCCCCGCAATCGGAGTGGGTTCTCCTTCAGGGAGTGGCAGTGGTGGTGACTAGCTAGTAACAGCGCCAGGCGGCTGAACCGGAGCAGGGGGCTAAATTGCACCAAATTTCGGGACAGGTGATGGTGGTTGGACTGCCGCCGGTTGTTGAGCGGGAACAGACGGCGGTTGCTGAGTTAGAGGCGGTTGAACAGAACTTGGGGTTAAAGGATCCACGGGTGCTTGTTGAACTGGTGCAAGCTAGGGCAATCCTGCGACACTAATACAAAAATATGCCCCCACCACACATACCACCGATAACCCTCTCGGGGCCAGCACCTCGTGAAGAAAGGAGTTGTCCAAAAAGGAGTAATAGTCGGGATAAGCAAGTGTGACGCTTCGGTTTTTTTTTTTTTGTAGACCAAGGCTGGCAACTGGATCACTCCAACAACCCAAACAGTCCAGCGAGACCAATTCAGTGCAATAAAGATGTCAGAAGCTATGGAAAAGCTTGAAATGAAGAAGCGTTTAGATGCAGCAATGGAATGGCTAGGTGAGGAGTCAGGTGAAAAGGCGAGTACTGCAGCCAAAATCTTTAATGTCAAGCAGTCATCGATTCATATGTGCCAACACCGAGAACACCATCAAGAGAGAAACAGTTGTGGCACCTTCAACCAGCATGGAGGGAATAATCTTATCCTTAAAGAGGCTCAGGAGGAAGCAGTTTTCCAGTTCTGCCATGACCAATTAGAGATGGGACTAGGAGCGACCCTCTCCATTATTTATGCAGCAATCTACCATCTCTGTCAGTAAGAACAATGCAATCCTTCCCCTCAGATCTGGTTTTGGAAATAGCTTAAGAAGAATCCTACTCTTCATACTATTAAAACAAAGCCAATCGCCTAGCCTCTAGTTGCAACCCATAGTGAGGAGGATCTAAAGAGTTTTTTTATTGAGTATCAGAATACTCTCACAAAGCATGGAATCAAACATGCCAAATATATCTACAATATAGATGAGTCCAGAGTTCGTGTTGGATGCCCTACTGGTGAAATAGTTATTGTCTCAACTCATGTAAAGGAGTTGTATACAGCAAGTCCTGAGAATCAAAAGTCAATTACCATTATTGAAACCATCTGCGATGTGTTGGACAGAAGTGTTTCTTAGCTGCTCACCGCATATTTCCCTTATGGCAATGACCACACAACCATAACCCTCTTGGTATTAACTACTCTGATACCTCAATGTTTGACTACTGGTTAGCCCTCCACATCAAATACCATATATGACAACATCTGCGACAATACCTGCGACAACTCCATGTTAGGATATTACCCCTTTCATATGGAAATACCGAACGTCCTCGGCCAGAGTATACCCTCGGTCGAATACACTTATTCTCGGTCAAATACACTTATCCTCGGTCAAATACACTTATTCTCGGCCGAAGTAGTGCAATGGACAATAGTGAAACTAAATGTGATACAGAATACAGCATATACTGGAAGTATGTGGAAGCAAATCAGTATGATCTTGGGGAGAATAAAAGGCAGCTCGTTTTCTCTTATTGGTTGTTTTCATTCATTATCCAATTTGTTTCTCTTTCCTCCGTTACTCGCATTTGGGTCATAGCTGTCTTTCCTGTTATATTTTATTCCCAATTGTTGTTCTTTGTGAGAATATTTCTCCAGTTAGGATATTGAAATTCCTCTTTACATCTTTGTCTTGCCTAAGTCAACATTGTCCAAATCACTACTGTAATCCTTGTTGTTTAAAATGGTGATGGTATCCCTCCTTCACCTCTAGTTGTGATCTGCCCTGGTAAAAAGATTATGGAAAGTTGGGTGAGTGATAACCTCTTAGAAGCTGAGGTAATTGCTGTCTCTCAAACAGGATATACAAATGAGAAAATTGCTCTTGCATGGCTTGATCAATTCATCAAGCATGTTGACGTTGGTCCTAACCAACATTGGCACCTCCTTTTACTTGATATATACATTAGCCACCACAAAGCCGACTTTGTTCTCAAATGCCATAAGAACTACATTGTTCCCTTTGAATTTCCATCATATCTTATGCATGTGCTTCAGCTCCTTAAAGTTGGTATTTTCCATTCCTGGAACCATTACCACAATAAGGTGATTCACAATGTTCTGCACTCACTCGATATAGAATACACAATTTCCTCCTTCTTTAGAGATCTTAGTTCTATTCGTGAACAAATATTTCAAGTCAATACCATTAAAAATGCCTTTAAAGACTCTAGGATATATGCTGTCTCATTTAAGGGAGTATTGAAGAAAATACAGTATTATAATGTCCGGAGAAACTCTAAAGCTATTTCTCATACTGGTGCATCATCCTCCTCAGAGCCTGATTTCAGCATATCAGTAAACTCCAGCCAAGCAGAAGTTCAAATTAAGGAAGGAGGTGAGCTTGAGCTTCCTGTGCTTTCTAGCACTTATTTTGAGTACCAAAAGAGCATGGGTAAATGGATTGACAAAGCTGAAACCTTTTGTCCAAATTTCTAAAGCCTTCTTCCAACAATGGGCGAAAGATACACAGATTTGCCTTACTGAGGAACAGTTGCAAGAGGAATCCTATCGTACCATTCAATCAAGACTCCAAGAGCAACAGAAGTACAAAACCAAATCTCGACGAAGTATTCAGAAAGGTGGTATTATTACAGTTGAAGAAGCAAGACAGAAGACAGCGGAAAGGAAACTGAAAGAAAAGGCTGTGGCGATTAAGAAAGCTCGAAAGAACATTCAGGTTGTGGTCAATAAGGCCAAAATACCCTTTTACTGCTGTGGTATTGATACTCGCAAAGCAGAAAAAGAAAGGAAGAAGCAGGTTCAAAATATTCTGTCTCAAGGTGGGATTCCACAACCTGAGCTGATCATTCCTATATCCGATCCAGAGAAGAATCCAAGTTCAGAGGATCTTGAAAACCTTCAACCACCTCCAGATCTATTGCAGGCCTTATTACTCCTTGAGCCAAGCACTCTTAGTACTACAGGTACAAGTGAAGTTGATATTATTACTGAAAGTACTCAAGTTCCGCAAAGGAACATTAAAATTGGGAGAAGTCAGGGGGGGACAGGAAGTAATTGTGAAGATCTGGGTAGTAAATCAGATTCTGATTCATCATGTGCTTCTTCTGACTCAATTATGAGAAATGCAGACTTTGTAACCTTTAATTAAAGTCATGTAAGTTATACTGAAGTAATAATATCTGATGAATAGTTAGTGTTTTATCAACCTATCAACAAAAAAAAAAAAAAAAACCGAAGCGTCACACTTGCTTATCCCGACTAGGAGCGAAGCGAATAGGAGGGTAACCAGCTATTATAGGCAGGACCTTGCTACCTCAGGATCAAGAGGAAAAAAGACAAACAAGGAAAGAACGGTCGGACCAGCCAGCAGGTGATTATAGAGTCCAGA